AATTCCCCAGATCTCAATCCAATCGAGCATCTGTGGGATGTGCTGAACAAACAAGTCCGATCCATGGAGGCCCCACCTCGCAACTTACAAGAATTAAAGGATCTGCTGCTAACATCTTGGTACCAGATACCTCAGCACACCTTCAGGGGTCTAGTGGAGTCCATGCCTCGACGGGTCAGGGCTGTTTGGGCAGCAAAAGGGGGACCAACACAATATTAGGAAGGTGGTCATAATGTTTTGCCTGATCGGTGTACTATTCTACTAGTCAGGATTGCGAGATATAAATGGAGAATTGTGAGATGTTACTCTGAGAAGAAAAGTCTGAGTTGTGAGATATAAACTGGCAATTGGAGATAAAAAAATAAATCAGAATATATGCGATAAAACGTTGCAATTTTTTTAATTACATGGCAGAAAAGTCAGAATTGTGCGATGTAAACTCAGAATTGCGAGATATCTCACAGTTATGACTTTTTTTTCCCTCAAAATTGCAAGTTTATATCACATTTCTGTGAGAAAAAAAAGGCAGTGAGACAAAAAGTCACGAATTGTGATACAAAAGTCACAATTACTTTTTCTTTCTTTATTCAGTGGCTAGTTTCGTAAATATTTTGAATAAAAAAGAAATGCTGATTGTATACTGAGAATTTACTGTACACTCTATTCCAAAGAAAGGAAGGAAGGCAAATATCAGTCAATAAAACATTATCTTTAATATTAGGCATTATTAATGAATAACACGTCACAGCGGTTAAGTGAGTAGGAAAAAAAAAAAGTGTGTATTTACATCTAAAATCCACACCACATTTATTCATGCTAGCACAATATATACAGAAAAAAGACTTTGAGAATACTTGTACAAAGGTTTTCGTAGTTCTGCATGGTAAAACAAAACGCTCTTCAGATTTCAATGCAAAATACACAAAATAACTGTAGTGATTAGGCCATTGAAAGATTTTTTTTTTCTTTTTCATGTTCGCAGTTTAGTTTTAAAAACACATTTACATCAGAAAGTACAAGGCAGACAATTAATCTCAGTCTATACATGATTTGTCCCTCTTGACCATATAAATACAAAGCTTTTGAAGGAGTATATACACGAAATAAAGCCAAACATGGTGTGATACGAACTGTAATGCAGACCAGAGTGTTCAGTGCCCCTCTTTACTCTGTTTTTCATATATACAGAGACAAAAAAAACCCATTTCATCCTCTTAGATTACCAGAAATGGTCATTTCCAATATATGACGATCAATCCTTTCAGCAAAATACAGGAAATTAAACCCAATATTTAATTAGCAATTCACACTTATCGGTGTATACATGAACAGAAGTATTGATCTGGTATTGAATTATAGATGCTGATCAGGGCAACCTCATCATGTAAAAAATAAAATGTCACCCTCAATCTGAAACTGAATTTAAAACTGTCGGTTTGCCTCCATGGAGATATCAAACATGTAAAATATGTACACTTGTTCTTTACATGGTTGCTTGTGCCAAATGAGTAACTTTCATTTGATGAATTGTGATTATAATACGTTTTGAACTTTTTTTTTTTGCTTGGATATGCAAGCAAAATTATGATGGTGAATGAATACAAGACACACAGTATCCATCAGTCCGTATTTACATGCAAAATGTCATTATAAGTAATGCTCAAAACAATAAATATTAATGCTTTTTAGTTTATCAGTGCTAATATTCACAGAATGGGCCGTCACATATACACTCTCTTATAACACTCGATCTTTGCATAGATTCCAGTTCCTTCCCTGATCACTCAGTATAAAAAATGGTTTATATTGTCTCAATTAACTTTACAATATTAAGTTTAATATAAATAATTATTAATAACTCATCAATTAAACCATTTCTATATGTCTATGGAGACATAAGACACGTACTTCATCATTATATGATTATAATTAAGTTAAAAAATATATAAATAATAATCTACAAACGCATACCACTTACCTAAGTTTTACTTCAGGAGGAAGTGCATACAAATGAATAGACTGAGTTACAGTTGCAGTTTATGTCTGACTAGGAAAACAGACAGGAATATTATTAATGTAATGAATGAGAGATTCCCACATTTAAGGAAAGTCGTCTATCAAAACATTTGCACGTATTTGCTTTCGCTGGCCATAAAAAGGCCTTTAGTGATGAACTATCAGCAGGGACGGATTATGACACAGCGGTGCCCTGGGCACAGACCGATTAAAGGCCCTCCTCGGCTTAAATTTTGTTCCTTTTTTATTCGAAAATTTCCCAAACTTGTTAACTATATCATAAAATATCACGATTCTCAAATATAAGTAAATGCATTTTGCACCTTTATAGATCATGTTAGTTTATCTATAATGGGCTAGAGAGCAGCATTCAGTCAGCGAGCGCGAGCACTGAACGAAACATGGGCTTTTCAGCGATGACTCATCTGAATGCCTCTGATTGGCCATTGCATTCATAAGCTCAACAGAATCCTGTGTGATTGGTTATAATGCGCAGCACTGTAAAAACGCGTCTGGCTCAGCGCCAGCCAAAGCACGAACGCAGATTTGAATTTGGCAGCTGATTCTGTGCCGCACTGAACGTTCTAATCGTATCAAATATAAAAAAAAAATATTATTCAGCCATTTTTGGTCTTTTGGAAGCTGCATTCAAAATCCACTTTGCTTAAAATCCTGAGGGGGCACGGTTGAAATCGCGTTCCTGGAGGAGCATTATTTCGGCTGGGCCCCCCTCTGGTCTAGTGCCCTGGGCACATGCCTGGTAGGCCCGTGCGTTAATCCGTCCCCGACTATCAGTCATAGTCTTTAAGATAACATGCATTTCTCTCTGTACATATCCTGCCACGAACAGTACAGTCTTCATATTACAAAAGCACACAGAAACGCCTTAGGTTTGCCTAAAACTTGCCTTTTGCTTTTAATATTCTTCAAGTACATTTCATACTACGAGCAGCCTTAAGTATATACTTTTGTGTTTGTATCCCAGAACTTTTAATAAATAAAAATTACTTTTCAAACCCATAACATATTTTCTTAATTTAAGTGATATAAAACCAAATTAAACCACATCATATATTTGTGTAGGGCTTAACAGTGCAAAACAAACAAAGAAAAAAAATGTTTAGATTAGATTAAATAATAAAATTAATGGGACAGTACCCATAATAGTAATAATAATAATAATAAAAACAGTTAATTTTAAATAATTAAATAAAAGATATGCCTATTTTTAAAAAAATCCAGCAACAAGTAATTGTCTATCCAATGCAGTCACAACCTTTTTTTTTTTTGTGGAGCAGGATTTTGGACCACTGAGATTTCACTGTGGGCGGGTCTAGTCAGCATGACACAAACTGACTGACAAACTAAGATTAACATTAAAAATATATATTTTACCACTTGCCGCCTTACGTTTTTCTGCCACTTAAGTTTATCCCAGACTCAATATGCAGTGTGTTGCTCAAAGCAGATATAATTAACAGTTTCAGATGTCATGAAATGCTAGTTAATGATGCTGTGGATGAGGATGTGTAGATATACAGTACAAGCAATATCTCTACCAGACCCTCCCTTCAAGTGATGTAGCGTAATATTATCACCACCACTGAAGAGAACATGCACATTGTACATAAAAATTAGCTTTTTAAATAACATATACTTTCAATTCGTCAGAAGTTAATATGCAAACACCATCAGGAACCGAATTTGCATCTATCAGAAGCTGTAAGACTTTTCGAAGTCACTCAACTCACAAGATAAAACACACTCATGAATCTTGCCTCCTTTCCACCTTTAAAAATGTGTGATATAATCTTTCATAGCAATATAGTATATGATATAATCTAAGCTGTATATATTCTAACTGTCTTTTTGTATTTTTTTATACTATACATTTATATTAAAGTCTTGGAATTTTATAACAGCTCTATCTAAAAATATACTTCTTTATGAAAACTGTCAACTCGGAGGAACGGAAATCAATTCCCAAAGGAACCTACTGAGACCAAAAGTCGCTTTACCGTGAGGAGACATCTGTGAAATGGCTTTGATTTAACCACTTTGGCTGTTGTGTTATTAGTGTAACGGGGTAGTAGCGCTCAGAGTGGCTGATTTGCTTTCACAGCACAAAAATATTGTGGGTGTAATGAGGCTTTACGAAGATTGTAAAAGCCTCTTACTGTCACATCAGTGCAGATTCTCTCTGAGGAGAAGCTTCCCGCAACTGTGCAGGAGGTAACAGACGTTCTGTTAAGTGTTTTTAGGTCTGTAATGAAGTGTTAGCATGTTATATCAACCAATGTGTCAATAAAACCATGTCTGAGGCTTTTGCATTGGATTGGGAAGTATCTTGTCAGAAGAAATAAGAATGCTTAGTCAATGAAGATAGCTTCAAACGTCCTCAGAGATCATCTGAAATCCACCCTTATGTGGGCTAGCGAGATGTAAGAAAAATTTATTTCAATTTTAGCCACTATCTAAGGATCCACTTTTGGCCACTTCTAAATTATTTTTAAATAATTTAATAAAAAATAGACAAAACTAATGAGGTTTTTGGTGCTCCGAGGTTAAGTGCTAAAGTGCAACCCAACCAGAACTCAACAATGTCTATTGGTAAGGTTTATCAACACTCTTTTTGAAGGTGTATGATGTCAATCAAAACTATTGTAACGATGACTATGAAGTGTTAACAAGTTGTAGACCTTGACAAGATGTGTATCTATCCTTGAAGACATGAAACGCTTGGATCTGGTACACCTGAAAACCACCTTAATCTGATTTTGTGCTTCCTGTTTCATCTGAAAGTCTGTTTTTGTACCTTTACAACTTTCGGGATTCTTACCATATCTGCATTATCCAATCAATATACTGATACTAATGAGGGGAAGTAGCTTGGGCTCTACAAGCAGTTTGAACTCAAGGTTCCTGGGCAACTCCCAATCAACAACCGCTAAGCACAAAACAAAAAGTTTCACAAGCATGTAGAAGCTCAGCAACATATCAAGCACTTCTTGAAAGGTTTCAAAGACCTACACTGGATACATGAGATGTAGAGTAGAGGTTCAAACTCAGTCATTTCTTGGGACTTTCCCAAAACCCAACCACCTATCACACCAAAGCCAACAGTCCAAGCTGAACCTTGTTCTTCATCTATTCTTCACTGATGCCGTGTTCCCAGGCCACCTTGGCCTGCTCCTCCTTGTTCGTTAGCAGAGGCTGAGAGATCTTGCGGGGCATTGGCCTTGGAACCGGCCTCAGGTCCTCTTCAGGGATACACCCTTCCCTCAGGTAAGGTTTGGGAGGCAGAGCAGGTGCAGGCTCATGGTGGTGGTAGTGTGGGTGGGTGATGTGTATTGCATGTGGGTGGTGATGGTGGAGATGGAGGTGATGATGGTGTCCGTCAGTGGGCATCCCTGGGGTTACGCCTAGTGGGGCTGAGTGACTACGGCAAGGAGTGGGCTTGAGAGGGTCCAGAACTTCAGGCTCGGAGATGCTGTAGCGTACAGGGAGGTAGGGACTCTCGGCTTCCTCCGTGTCCGTGGTCCAGGCCTGGCTGCTCGGCATCGAGTCCAAGGTGTCAGCTCGAGCTGGAGGCTCAGAGGAGGACTGGGCGAAGTTGCTCTCGCTCAAGGAGGAGACGCCACTGCTGGCGCTGCCAGACAAGGTGGAGTTACTGCCATCCAGGCCCGATTGTGGACTGGTGGGTGAGGCAGGTATAGGGTGCAGGGGTGACTGGTAAGGAAAGGTAAACAAGGTGTTTATATACAATATGTTGCATGAAGACCTTATCTGTTGCAGTGTTAAAACTAAAGACCAGTAGGATGACATTAGTAAGACCTAAAAGCAAGGGTGCTCAACCTACCTCCTGGAGAACTATCTTTATGCACACTTTAGTTCCACCCATGGTCAATCACACTTGTTTATCTTTCCATGAACTTCCAGGAATAGTTCATAGAAAATTGAAAATTCTGTCATCATTCACTCAACCTTAATATCATGAGGGTGAGCTTGTCTACTAACCTGCATTAGAAATGAATAGTTCAGCTATGAATCTCTATTCACATTCTAACTGGCTGTGTGCTATGCATGTCCTCATCTTAGCCCTCCGCCTCCCCAGCGCCACAAGTGTACCTTCTAACTGTGACTTAATATTTTACAGTACAATAACAATTTTTTTTTATTCTCAAAACATTTAAATATTTCTCCATTTTAACTTTTTAATTTAGATTCCTTCCCCATCTACGTGTCTAATAAACCTGGCACTATATATTATGAATATTGTTGGCTCTTGACAAATTGCTTTTGTTCTTTTTTTTCTAATTCGCTTGGTATAATTTGCTGGATGACTAAAACTTACAAATTTCATTTTTACAAATTTTCATCCTACTGATCTCCAGAGAAAATACAACCCAACAACATACATACACAGACACACAAAAATTGCACTACTGATGCATACATATACAAATGCATATGAAACAATTACAATATGAACCCAAAACACTTTAGCATCTTAGGGACACCAAAAACTCCCAAACACCAAAAAATATCCCAAACCAGACTCAAGTACAGTTCAGCTCAGGGTGTTTTGACTGGGGGACATCTGAGGTCAACAGGACGTAAGACATCTCAGAATGCTAGTGCGGGCATGCATGACGAGGACTAACAGTACACATCTAGGTAGAGGATACCTTTCTTAAAGAGCGCGTGGGGAGAGCTGGAGGGAGTTCGTTGATCTGGTGGTGGAAAGCATCAAAGTGCATCGAGAAGTGTCCTAAAGGGGAGACACAGTTGGACAGAACCAGGGTTGGAAAGAGCACACGCCGGTACACACTTGCGCGCAAACACACGTCGGCATGCGCATTCACTCAGCAAGCACTAGGAAGGATTCTTTCTGAACTTGGCTGATGTTCAGAGGAGAATAATGGGTGGGAAAGAGTGAATGGGGAGCAATGGATCAGCAAATGATCAAATGTGGGAAAAACTTTTTAAAAGAAAGACAGGATGCCACATGTCCAATGTAGGGTGGGTGAAAGGGAGTATGCTACATTTGCGTAGTTGATGTGATGTGTAATATTACTGTAATCAAACAAAATGGCAATAGCAATACCCCCCACCCCCTAGTATTTTTTCTTGTCTTTTTTCCTATAAATTACTGGCATGTGCATTTTAAAATAAAATAAGACAAAATATTTAAATAGTGAACAATGTGTAAAAAACAATGTGTGTGTAAAAAATGTTATTTGTCAACCACCCATTTGCTTCTATAAATGCATTTAAGCTTAGAGATGTGATTCAACTATGTCCCTCAAGATGCAGCAACAGGAGGATATTTAACGAAGCCAAGTTCAATTTAATAAAGATTCCACTACAATTCAACAATGTAGCAAATATTTTAATTAGGCACCTTTTCATTTATTAGATTTCTTAACTATATTGGCTTCATGTTTTCATAAATTCCTCCAAATAGTCTATGCACACCTTGGCAGATATGCATTCCAAACGTTTGTCAAATCAGCTTGTGTAGCTGAACAGACATACAGTGGCACCTCATCATGTGTAGAAGATCCAACATAACTAATGACACAACATAAAAGGAATGGTTTCATGAAATGTATTTCTCTTCATTGAAACCTTTCCGCAAAGATACCGTTGATTCTTACCGGGAGGAAGGGTGCGGGGGGGAACTGGTGGGGCCATCACACTCCCGACATGAGCAGAGAGGAACAGCAGAGTGTCCCTGGTGCCACTGTCCAAACTCCAGCTGCTGGGAGCTGTCAACACTGCCAGAAAGGACAAAGACCACCATCAGTATACATACAGGTTTCATTATTGACCCGCTGGATCCTCATCTGAATGTCAGATACCTCAGGAATTCCTGCTTAAAATGTTGAGGTTTGGATGCTGGTGTTTCCAACCAGCTGCTAAACTAGACTAACAAACAAGACTTCCTTACCAAACATTCACAAAGAACCAGTTATGTTGAGTTGGAGAACCCGCTAAACAAGCACTGACCAGGGGTGCGTTTCCCAAAAGCATCGTTAGCTAACTATGGTGGTTCATTCCACTGAACTCTATTGGTAACGACGGAAATTGCGACCATAGTTGCTTTTGGTAAACGCACCCCAGACTAGTAATTCACATGGTTATGGTGATAAACCAGTTACATCAGCTCCAAACCAGCCTAGGCCAGCGTTGAAACTCACCATTTACATTTGTTGGCTGAAAATGTTATTAAAAGTGAAAAGTAATTTCCCTTCAAAGACTTTGGCTTGAATTGGTTTGGTTTGCCAACAGCAAAAATTAAGTTTTAAAAAGGAAGCAACCATGAATTTTAACAGATTGTGTGCAGTTTCCAAATATTAAGGGAAGCTGTGATGCATACGGATTAGTATTCTGGATTGAATGATCGGATAGCATGCATTCATAGACCCATCCTACATAGAACATACTTTCTACCGGACACAAAGTTAGTTCTTCATCAAATGCAGTACCTGCTCAGACAGTATGGGATTTCGGATGCAGTGTATTGTGGATTTCTGCCTGATCTGAGGGAAATGTGGGACTGTGAAGGAATAGAGGGGTACAGTTGGTTCAGAGAGTCATACACACCCAGTCATACCTTTATCAGCCACAGAGAGATTGGGGTCACTGCAGGGTTTGCAGGGACCAATAACCTGATGGTAAAGAGCCCTCTGATGGTTAATAGGCTAGTGAAAAATTAAAAAGAAAAAAATATGTATTTTAATATTATATTTCTGCCATCATCTCACCAAATTTTCTGGCATAGTCTACTTGATTTAAAAAAATCAAATTAGCTTGAGGTAGACGTACCTGTCCGTTCTCGGTCATGTTGGGGTACATGGCACTGCTGGGACGGTCCCTGTGCGGCGGTAGGAGCATTACCATCTCTCGGTTGTGTCTGTATCTGTCAGGTAGTGATGGGGACCCAACTGGAGAGAAAGTAAATAAAACATCTCTAAGTTTTAAGTTGAGACTAGAAAAGCCATAGTTCACCTGAGCTGTTCTCTTGAGTGAAGCTAGAAGCACTAAGATTCCTGATTGTCACCACGGTAAGTTAATGTTCAAAACGACAATAGATTAGTTCTCAAACATTGGTTGGGAAACCTGGAGTTATTATGAAAAGTTTATTGACACTTACCTCTGATGCTGCCATGCCCTGAGTTGATCATCTGAGATGGAGCTGAATGTGTCGAGCTCAAACTGGACGATGATGGACTGGGCTGAAATGTTACATTGGGGGGGGGAACAGTACTTTAAAAGATTAGATACAGTGTTCTTGTTGTTGTGCAGATGCTATGGTGTTCTAAGTAGTTGCAAAGGGTGGAAAATGTCCAGTAAGTTTCTGGAAACTTTCTGAAAATTCCCCAAAATTTTCTTAAAGTTTCCCAAAAATCCTGGACATTTTCTGAAAATTCTGGGAAGTTTCTGGAAATTTCCTGGAAATTTTCCACTCCTTTGCAGCCCTAGATGTCAGGGAGTTGCTAGGTGGTGAGTGGTTTCTACAGTGTTGCTAGGCAGTTGATTGGTTGTTGCTAGGATGTTGTTAGGCAGTTGCTAGGTTGTTCTAAAAGGTGGCTTTTAGGGTGCTGCTAGGCAGTTGCTCAGGTGTTGCTAAGTGGTTCTAGAATGTTATTAAATAGTTTCTAGGTTGTTATAAGAGGTTGCTAGGGTATTGCTAGGTGATGGGTGGTTGTTGGGTTGCTATGAGTGTGTACTAATTATATGGCATTGCTAAGATATTATAGGTGGTTACTACTAGGGTATTGCTAGGTCGGATGATCATGGTGGTTTCTAGGGTGTTGCTAAGTGGTGTTCTAATAGGTTGCCAGGGAATTGCTAGGTGGTGGGGTGCTACAATATTGCTAGGTGGATGTTAGATTGATGCAGTGTTCTGGGTGATCACTAGGACATTGTTAAGTGGTTGCTAGGGTGTTGTGAGAGGTTGCTAGGATGTTAATAAGTGCTGACAGGATGTTGTTAGGCAGTTTCTAGGTTCTTAGGAAATGCTTAGGTATTGGTAGATGATGGGTGGTTGTTGATGAGTTATGAGTGTTCATTAATGCTGGTGTTGTTAGGATATTATGAGTGGTTGCTAGTTTGGATGATCTTGGTGGCTGCTAGGGTGTTGCTAAGCAATGCTAGATCATTTTTACCTAGATCTTAGTGTGTTCTAAGGCATTGTTACGGCATTGCTAAGTTGTAAGTGGTTGACGTTAATAGGTGGATGCAAGGTTGATAGGGTGTTCTGAGTGGTTGCTAGGCAGTTTGTTTAGGGTGTATTTGTAATGGAGGCCAGCTAGTAAGAGCTGTGCAGATAAACCTCACTCTCCTGGCCTGAAGAGGTGCACTAGAGATTGAAGCTAAAGGCTGCAGTTGGCCTGAACCCCGCTTGAAGTGGGTTGGGTAGAACCGGAGGGGTTACACTAGGACAGTGGTTCGTCATCGTGTACCACCGCTCTGCATATTTTGTACATTTTTATCTCTCTTATTTAACACACCTGATTCAGATAACCACACAGTAACCTACACAGTGTTCTTTGCTCCCTACTCCCTGAGCACAAGAAATCCGTTGAAGTTTACTTCACTTCTGAACATTCATTCATGGATTTGCACTACGCCATGCCCTGCAGCGTCTTCACAGACAAACGAAACTTACTAGAGAAGTGTGAAGTGTGACATAATATACCTCTGTAAATAAATACAATTAAATTCACGTCTCGCACACTTTAATGTCCTTTGAATATACGCTCTCTTTGAATTTGAATCATGGTGGAATATCCTGTGATAGGGCACTTACAGTCAAATAGAACAACATCTGAAGTGATAAGAGATGCATACAAAATGTGCAGAGTGGTGGTACAAGAGGACTGGAATTGAGAATGTATACTTGGGTGCTAAAGTGGATGCTAGGGTGTTTTGTTTGGTCACTAGGGTGCACTTGTACACTATATGTATGTATTATGAGCTTGTGTAGCTCACCTGCATGCGGTAGAGGTCCTCCGGGTGCTCCATCATACTGTCCGTCAGGATGAGCAGGTTTCCCATCTCACTGGAGGTGTGAGAGGAGAGAGAAGAGGAGGAGTGGCGGACAGAGCCCAACACATTCAGAGGGCTAGAGATAGACAGAGAGAGAGAGAGAGAGAGACAGGGGAGGAGAGGGATAGGGAATATAGGGGTAGAAAAGAAAAGCAGGAGAAGTGGAGAATGGGGAACACATGCATGGATGAGGAAAATCAATCAAGATGAAGAAAAGAGAGATTGTAGAGTGGTAGAACACAGGCAGCCATGCAAGTATGAACGAAAAAAGGAAGAAAAAGAGAGAATAAATAAGAAAGAAAGAGGAGAGTAAAGCATGTACACAGAAGGATGTCAAACATACGTGAGGAAAGTGACAGAAGAGAGAGAAGGAGAGAGAGGAACAAACAGAGAGAGACATGAGAGAGACGTGGCGGAGCTGAAGCTAGTGTGCTCAGAGTGGGCAGCATGAGCGCGTACGTGTGTTTATGAGGAATACACGGTCAAGGAGTGTTTGTGAAGAGAGAGGAAGGGCTGTGTCTAAAGAGAACAGGAATCTCTCTCTATAACCCACATATATGTGTGTAGAACACATAGACTACACAAATTCATTACAATGTGATATATGCAGTACAAGGCGCCACACAGGAAACAAGTATTATATGGAATAAAAATATATGGAATAAAATCCTGAATATACGTACACAATTTGTACCAAGGTTGTTATTGTTAACTAAAACTATTAAAAATAGTTTTCGGCATTAGATGACAAAAAAAAATCTATTTCATAACATAAACATAAATAAACAAACTACAGAAAATGACAAAACAACAGAAAATTACTAAAACTAAAACTGAAATTAAAACTAAAATATAATAAAAGCTAATTCCAGAAAAGTTGGGACGTTTTGTAAAATGCAATAAAATCAAGAATCTGTGGTTTGTTAACTGCCTTCAACCTTCATTTAATTCACAAAGGTACAATTAGGGTTTCACTGACCAACTTAAATGTATTTTGTAAATATAAACAATTTTATTTTGATGGCTGCAACACACAAGTTGGAACAGACCACAGTCCACAATAAGCTGATGAATTGGTAATAGGTCAGGTGTGTGAAATATAGCCACATGGGCTCGGGAGTACTATGGAAAAATGTTGTCACTCTGCCGCTGCATCAAGAAATGCAACTTGCATCAAGACGCCAGTGAGTTCTCTGGGCCCGAGCTCATCTTAGATTGTCCAAAAGACTGAAAATGTGTGCTGTGGTCAGATGAGTCCACATTTCAGCTTGTTTTTTGGGAAAACGGACATCAAACTGTCAGTCCCAAAGACGAAAGGGACCATCCAGACTTCATTCAGTACAGGTGCAAAAGCAAATGTTTGTTGTAGTATATGGGTGCAGCAGAGCAAATGGCATGGGTGATATATATACATATATATAGCAAGGTGTACCTAATAAAGTGGCCAGTGAGTGTGTATATATATACTGTATATCTCACTTATGTTCAAAATAAAAGAATGTTCAATCTAAGCTACAGCATCTACATTGTGCTGCCAAATCCCACAGAAAATAACTTAATTGCATTTACAGTTGCATTAAAACTTGAAATATTCCTTTAATCTTTATACAGTCTTGTTCTAATACATACTCGGGCTTGAATGCATAGTTTATACACAATATATCTGTGTGCATGCGTAACTGTGTCTGTACGGGTGGACTGACCTGTGTCGGTGCATGAGCTTGATACTTTCAGGACTCATGGGACTGTGGGTGGCGAGGATGCCGCGTGGGGTGCTGGACCCTGAGCAGGCCGGACTCAGCTTATCCAGACCGGGCAGGCCCTGCAGGGCCACATAGAAACACTACTCTGAATATACACACTGTCTGCGCTCATGCCAGCTCATATTTAATATAGTTTACAAAAACAGTGTTTGATACTGAATCTGTGCAAAGAATAAAGTGAGAAAAGTAAAATGTATTTAAAAACCCCATGAAATACCTTCAAAAGTTTTCTTTCCTGTATTGATATTTCCTTTTCAAACAGGAAGTTTGGGTGAGGTTTGGTCATTATTGGTCATAACCGGCAAGTTACATCACAAGTGCATTTAGCATATTCCTAATCTAGAAAGCATTTGATTGGACAAATATTTGGAAACGCCCATGAGTGCATGATGAATCATTAATATCTTTGGCCCATTTTCCTAAAAAAATGTCAGATTGTAGGTATAAAATAATATATTAATTACCTGAAACTAACAGACTTGGGCTAAAAGCCAAAAAAAAAAAATATATTTTTTTTTATTTTATTTTACTTTATAAATTATAATAAAATATAATACTAAACTAAATAAAAAAGTTTGTCAAGTCAAACCTTGATGCTGGCTTGAGAACCCTGACCACAAAGTTTGAAGTAGTTACACAAGCTTGAAGTCTGAAGACCAGTTTAAAGTTTAAAGCTAGGCAATTGCTAAGAAGTTGCTCTGAGTGATTGCTAAAGAGTTGCTATGCAACTGCTAGTATGTTTTATGTTGCTAGCATGTTTAAGCTAGTTGCTAGGAAGTTACTAGGGTGTTCTTGGTCATAGCTTGGGAAGTTGCTAGGGTACTTTTTTGGGGGGTTGCTGGGCAGCTGCTAGGGTATTTGTGGTGGTTGCTAAGGCGCTGCTATGAAGTTCCCAGGATGCTGTAGGTGATTGCTAGGGTGTTGCTAGGCAGTTACTAGGGTGTTCTTGGTGGTTGTGAGGGTGTTGCTATGACGATGCTTGGCAGTGGCTAGGGTGTTCTGAGCAGTTGCTATGCAATTGCTAGTATGTTTTATGTTGCTAGCATGTTTAACATAGACACATGTTGGTGAGATGTCTTATGCTAGTTGTTATGCAATTCGGGTTTACTTGGTGGTAACTAGGGTGCTGCTCTGTAGTTGCTAGGGTGTTGCAGGTTGACAGATAAGCCAACATAGCTGCAAAAAAACTAAATACATTTTGATTCATTGGGGTCTTTATCTAAATTTTGATTATTGGGGCAGAAAATTAATCAAATTCCTGAGAAGCAGATGTAAGGGTCTCACATGACAGAGGCTGCTCCTCATCATCTGGAACTGATCGATCAGCTTCTTGTGCAGGGGACGCATTTCCGGATGCACCAGTTTCTCGTGGACGGCCAGACCCACGCCGAGGACATGAACCTGTGCGGTTTATTCAATAAGAACCATTATCTGATGTTTATAAATGAATTAAAATGAAGACACTCTGGATGTGCTCACCTGTTCCTGCATCAGATCCTTGAGTTGGGTGATCTTCTCCGTATCCTCCGGGTGACTGCTAATGTACTCTTTATCGAAGAACGCCTGGCATAGAAACACAGTCGACAAACTTATTATGAAACCATACTTTTGCATGAAGACTGAACTGTTGATGTTCACGCATTTGGGCAACAAAAAGCTTGTCAGCTGAACATGAAGAAGCGGCTCTGCTAGTGTGAGCTTTCTAAAGCACAATAAACGTCTCTGCCAAGAGAAACAATGTTCTTTTCAACACTTCTAAATCACATTTGGTCAAGTTTGCACTGACTTCCTGGTATCTAGCGATTCCTCCGTTGACGGCGGCGTCGATCACCCCGTTGAGGCACATGCTGAGCAGGTTGATGTTTCCGTGAAGCTGCTTGTGCTGGTACTGACTGATCAGGGTGCGCAGCTCCTGGTTCTTGTTCTCCACCACATATATGGCGTTCTCCAGTGGACTAACTTCAACCTACAGTACAGGACACACACGAGGTAAACACAGGCACTCTGAATGTATGTTACAGTTTCTGTTCAGTAAATCTGTACAATATATTGACATTATTATAAAACTATTATCCAGAGTTTAGTGATTGAGTAGTATTTAAAAGTATATTAAGACATGTTTAATATGTAAACTCATGACTTCATGAAAGTAATTTTTAAAGTTAAAATTGTCGGTTGAAATTGAGTTTAGTGTTTGGGTAGTATAAATTTAAATGGAATAGAATAATTATTTATGCAAAATCATATTAAAAACATATATGTAAATTCATGACTTGATGAAAGTTAACTTTTTAATTTCATATGATTTTGTATTTAATTTTAGTTTTTTATTTATTATCTTTTTTTAAGTTAAAATTTTAACTTTAAGTTGAGTTTAGTGTTTGGGTAGTACGAAATTAGATTTTAATTTTTTTATTTATTTAATTATTTATGCAAAATCATATTAAAAATATTCAATATGTAAATTCATGACTTGATGAAAGTTCACTTTTACATATTTAATTTAATATGATTGATTGATTTCATTTTTAAGTTAAAATTGTAACTTTAAATTGAGTTTAGTGTTTGGGTAGTATAAATTTATATGGGAGTTTTTGCTTATTTAATTATATATGAAAAATCATATTAAAACATATTTAATATGTAAATTCACGACTTAATGAAAGCAATTTTAATTAAAAATGTTTAAATTTAAACTGAGCTTGTGTACATTTAAACTAGAGATTATTTTACTTAATCAAGCAAAAATCATGTAAATTCATGACTTCATTAAAGTTGCATTTTTAAATAAAAAATTTGAAAGTTGCTTTTTAAAATTTAATTTGGTTTAGTGTTTGAGTAATATAAATTTCAATTATTTAATTATTTATGCAAAATCATAAAAAAAAAAAACACGCATTGTGTTGGACAGCTGCCCATGAGGCTATCAGCTCCAAATGATTGATTTTGAGATTTAATAAACAGACTAAAATGGTGGCCTCATTATGTTGATGATACATTCAGCTTTCGTTTGGATGAGTCACCCACCAGCTCACGCTTATCCACCTCAAACCAGCGGGAGATGCCAGGCAGAGGGTGGGTGAGGATGAGTGTTGTCCGCTCGATCCAGAGACTCTGAGAAAACACACACATGATGCAACTTCAGCCTACGCCTGGTGTTAAACTCATTTATCCACTAGTGTTCCTAGAGAAGAACTTCAAATTCACCTTAAATTCATTGTCCTTGTCTTTCGGGCCCTTGTGGAAGGGCCGGTCGTAACGGAAGCGCCGGACATTATTGACTCTGTAGAAGCTCTTGATGCGGTCCGGCACGCGGTCCATCTGCAGCACATCGATGTTTTCTGAAACTGGAGTCACAGCGTAGATCTGGAGGTCTATAGAGCTTTACATGAAGGACAAACAGCTACTATATTACAAACAAGTAGTTTAAAAGGATAGAAAACCCTAAAAAATTAGCACAATTGTCTATCATTTTTAAACTTAATTTATTTATTTCTGTGTAAAGCAAAAACATATATTTTGCAGAGTGTCCAAACTACTCTTTTACTTACAAGTGGTATAGACTTTTGGACAACAAAAAAGTATTGTAAAAATTACAGTTAAATTTTTAATTTGAATTTTTAAAGTAAAAAAAAAAACACAAAACAAAAAAATTATCTTATTAGAGCGAACAATACTATACACTACCGGTCAAAAGTTTGGGATCAGAACGATTTTTTATGTTTTTTTACAGGAGTTTCTTATGCTCATCAAGGCTGCATTTATTTGATCAAAAATACAGGAAAAAAATTATATTGTGAAATATACATATACATATACATTAAAATCGAATTTATTTCTGTGATGCAAAGCTGAATTTTCAGCATCATTTCAGAATGATGATCCTTCAGAAATCATTCTAATATGCTGATTTATTATTATTCATTATTAATTCAGAATTATTTATTCAGCAAGGATGTGTTAAATTGTTAAGACGTGATAGCAAAGATTTATATTGTTAGAAAATATTTATATTTTGAATAAATGCTGCTCTTTTAAACTTTTTATTCATCAAAGAATCCTGAAAAAAGTATCGGTTTCCAAAAAAAATATTTGGCAGCACAACATTGATAATTCTAATAATAAATCAGCATATTAGAATGATTTCTGAAGGATCATGTGACACTTTATGGTGTAATGGCTGATGGAAATTCAGCGTTGCATCACAGAAATAAATTTAATTTTAAAGGATATTCAAATAGAAACCATTATTTTAGATTGTAATAACATTTTGCAAGATTACTGTTTTTTTTCTGTATTTTTGATCAAATAAATGCAGCCTTGATGAGCAGAAGAGACTTCTTTAAAAAACATTACAAGTCTTACTGATCCCAAACTTTTGAACAGCAGTGTAGATATGTATGCATCTATTATTATTGTCAATCGATGTGGCGATTAATTCATCTAATTAATCACATATTAATTGGACATCACATTTGGCTGAGAAATCACCCACAAAAGATAATGTCAATTCATGACTTCATGAAAGTTTAAATTTGAATTTTTAAAGTGTCTGGGTAGTATACATTTCAATTGAAGATTTTTTTTAAATTATTTTATTTACGCAAAATTATATTAAAACATATTTAAAATGTAAATTTCATGACTTCATGAAAGTTACATTTTTAAGTTTAAATTTCGTTTAGAGTAGTATAAATGTAAATTAGAGATTTTTATTATTTTTTATATTTATTTATTTAAACAAAAATCATTTAAACAGAAATTCATTTTATTTAAACAAAATTTGGTTGAACATTATTTTCGTATACACAATATATATATACATAAATATATATATATAAATCCATTTCCTTATCCCCTTTCCGTTATAAGACCCCAAAACTTATTTTGGCGAAGGATACACTGGGCATCACCCTGTAAAATCCCCTCATCTGGTTGATTTGGGTGCTGCATGGCGATAGCTTGTGGAAATTCTCCCAGCATTCTTTGCTGAAAGGCTTCGAGTCTCTCGTAGTCATGCCCTCGACAGACAAACTCCTTATTCTGTGTGGAGAGAAAGAAAAATCCATAAATAAATATATACTATTTAATTTATTGTTGTTTTTTCATTATATATTTATTTTAAATGAAAAAGCAATGCCTTAATTTAATCTTTACAATTATTACAAACAAACAGAGCATGTAAATATCGCAATAGCTCACCCTGAGGAAGAAGGGAAACTTCCGGCCATAAAATCCCACCCTGAAGAACTCCGGCTCTAGTCGCTGCTGCTCCATGATGTTGTCATAATATGCTGCCTCCATTTTCTGTAAAGAAAGAAGGAGCTAAATATTCACACAGTGTTGACCTCCTTCTGCGCATAATACATAACAGTACATTAATAGCTGCGCGGTCCACTCAAAGTGCTGTTATATAATCTCTATTCATATACAGTATTCACATTAAAGAAAAATAACATCAAAAAGCACTGACCCGTATCCAGCTGAGACTCTGATAATCGTACAGGGACTCGTACTGGAAGGCTAGTTCACGGCACAGCGGGATGCCGTACTCCCAACACTGAGAAGAGAACAAGAACAGGACAGCATATGCAGTTTAAAACTAGATTTGCATTTCTAGATAAGAAACTCCATCAGTTCTGGCATGGCAAGTTTTAGACAGGTTTATAGAAAGAAATGCCACATTACACTTAGTTTGCACCTTGTTTTCTGACAGGTGTGAATTAAAGGGAAAGTTCATCCAAAAATGAGAATTCTATCATCATTTACTCACCCCCAAGTTGTTCCAAACCTGTACAAGTTTCTTTCTTCTGCTGAACACAAAAGAAGATATTTTGTTTGATAGATAATGGTAAGTAAATAGTTGCTGGTAGCCTTCGACTTTCATAGTATGAAAAAAAATACTATGGAAGTCAATGGCTACGGTCAACTGTTTAGTTATCAACATTCTTCAAAGTATCTTCTTTTGTTTTTAACCGAAGAAAGAAACTCATAATAGGTTGAAAAATGAATTTAAACTACAGTTATATTTTGAATGTTAAAAATGTTAAATTTGACATGAAATAGAATTGCACAGAACCAAGTCCCGCCCTATATTTTTGTCCTTTTCGAAAATCTGTTATATTTGCATGTATGTAACAATACGGAAGAAAAGATCTATCGCTACTTCAGTTTCATTGCAACTTTAACCCTTTCCCCACCATTGACGAGTTATCTAGTCTTTTACAAGAAAACACTTCCCTGCCAAAGACGAGTTTTTACGGCTTTTCGTGTTTTCACTGTTATACACTCGGGGGCGCTATTACACATCTTCTGAACGAGTACAAAACCTCCCGAACAAAAACACACGTGAACAGGACGGAGGAACTAGCGATCTCTTAAGTAAACAGATGCATATGAAAAATAATGCGATCATCAGCAATAGACAGCATATAAATGAAAACAGCATAATGTTACGGAGTAAAATGTTGATCCAGGAAGTGGTATATGTCTGTGCACGTTTTGGAGGTATTGATGGAAGCGATTTATTGGATTTATACTTTGATAATCGTACTGAATATTATCCAGATGTAGTTTTTGATAAAAATGTGATTTTCTCACCTTTTTGCTCAAAATTATGCATTTTT